CAGAAAGCGTGGAGCGTCTGCAGCTCATCATTGGCGGAGCTGGCACCACGCATTGCCGCTCTAGCTAGCCACTATGCTCGCTTTCCTCGGGCCGCTCATGCGTCATCACGCGCAGTCGACGATCAGCTCAGCGCGGCCCTGAAACGCCATTGGCAGCTTTTTGAGAGAGTGGTGGCATGCGAGCTGCTGTTGGAGCAGCAATTCGAGGCAAGCAGGGGTGCGCATCTTTCCGTGATTCCTCTGCTGCGCTCCTTATCTGCCGTTGACGAGTGGCAGCTGGAAGATTTGGCGAGGAGCGCAGCAGAGCGTGCCCTCGCACAGGCCATGCAGCACCTGCTCCAACACCATCCTTCAACCCGGGCCAGGCGAACTGGGCGAGCCATGACAGACGAGTGCATCTACCTTCAAGCACGTCTTGCTGCCGTAAAGCAGGCGGTCAAGCAGTGCACAGCACGCGTCAAGCAATGTATGCGGTCCAGCAATGAGAACTTCCTTGCGACGACTGAAAGCGAATTGGCAGAGGTGGCCAAAGACATGCTTCGTCATGCACGCATCTCTCAACTCTTCGACATCCTCATCCGCTTTCCACATTCCACCCCTGCCTTGAGCGATCTGCGCGATGTGCTCAGAACGACTGAGCATAAAGAAGATGTTTGGCTCGACCTATCGCTCAGCTTGCAGGACCGGCTACTGCACCCAGGAGCACCCACTGCTCAGGTTGTTCAGCTTTACGTCTACCTCATCAGGGGCCTTCGCATCGTCGACTCTTCCGGTCTCATCTTGTCTCACGTGATAGGAGAAGTGCGAAGGTATCTGCGAGCAAGGCCCGATACCATCAATGTACTCATCAGCGCTTTGCTGGGAACGGATGAAAGGTTTGCCATGCTACGAGAAGATATGGGGCTGGGGGAGAGCGGTCAGACGAATGAAGATGACGATAATAGTCAACTGATTCCACACGTCTCTCGAGCTCCCGCAAAGGATGCCCTTGTCGGAGCGACGTTGGCCGCATCCGCCCTGAACCAGATGCCCAAAAATTGGTCAGATCCCAATTGGGAGCCGAGGCCAATCAATGCTGGTCCTGACTACAGGCTGGGCACCTCTTACGACGTCGTACAGATGTTGGTAGGCATCTTTGAGGATCGCAGCAGGTTTGTGAATGCTTTAGAGGTCAGCACCGCAAAGGGACTCTTGGATGTCAAAGGGTACGACACGGTGAAACAGGTGAGCGCACGCGTGGTCGTGCACGAGTATTTGACGCTTC